TTGCACGTTAGTTTCATGCATCATGTTATCATCATCAAGTACAATGATTACATAGGTGTCATGTAATCATCATCAAGAACAATTATATTGATTACATAGGTGTCATGTAATCATCCTCACGAACAAGCAAATTGATTAAATGTGCCATCATGTAATTATAATTAAATATTTACTATCATGAATCATCAAATTGATCATATGATATAATGTGCCATATCATGAATATGATTATACATTTTGTGGACGTATAGATATGTATATGTAAATGTCTGTGAATTATTCTACAATTCTAGCGTGGTACCACTCAGCAGTTTCGCTGAGCGTGTAGTTTGTATTTTTCGTTGAATACACGTAGGTAACAAGAAGATAATGACGGAACCACTCCCGGAGGGCAATGAGTCGGAGGAGATGCAAGGATTGCAGGCAAATGTTTGATCATCAAGATTTTAAATGTGTCATGATTTGATTATTATTGTACTTCCGCAATACTCCGAAAATATTTTTAAATGGGTCGCGATCCAGAGTCTGTAAATTTAACATTTATTGAAATTGTCAATTTCAAATGTCAAGCGAAATTTTTATTTAACTCCGGTTTCACCTTAATTCGTGTAATTCCGGGTTATACGGATTAGGGTGTTACATTTTGGTATCGGAGCAAGTGGTTTTAAAAAAACGATTTTCGGATCATTGAGTCAATATTTTCAAATTCGTGCATCCGCATCCTCCACGACATCTCTGCCCCGGGAAGGTAATCAACAAGTAAGTTACTATGGCATAACACACGTACTTAACTCATTGAAATTTTGATTCAACTGAGTTGCTAGTATCCTCATAGAACCGAATGCAGTAAAGTTTAGATTGCCTCAAAATGTTCTTCGACGATCACAGTCGACATCAAAAGATCAAGGATCAAGAAGTGGGATTGTAAACCCGATAGGCACGACATACATGTATGTCGTAATACGTGAATAGCTAAGTGAACGATGTGAATCAACTTCTATCAACGCGAAGAATACGTTGAACAAAGAACTATCTTCGATAGAAAGTGAATGAATTCCCCAAAAGTGAATCTGTCATAACCTAAGGAACACAAATAGAGCCTCAAAAACCAGATCGAATACGACATATGTATCGAATCTGAAACGCATTATAGGAGTGAATCTACATACAAACGTTAGAAAACCATATGGAAGCAAAGATATCAAGAAGTACGTCAGAAGCATGTGAAGTGATTCTACTAACAGAAAATGGCGATATCTCAATATAATGAAGTCACGACAAATCTACTACTCCAAGATGATGAAAGAAACACGAGGAATTCTCTTATTAGAATTCATATCGGCCACGTGGAATGAATAGGATATCGAATCTACAATAGGTAACAAATAAAATTGCACACATAACGTTGATTAGACGTAGATAACAGGAAGTCTATAGTATAAATAGTTATGTGACTATGACATTGAGTTTGATTTGTAAGATTGGTCACCACCGCATATGTCTTCAAATCATGGGCAAAGGACTATGTATGCTTCCTGTTGTAGTCGAACCACGAGTGCAATACCATTGGATGCTTTACGTCGTATTCAATTCACGAGTGAATAGTGACAAAGATTTAAAGACAATCTTACAGTCCAAAGGCTATGCATCTATGATAATAATGTCGTATATCTCAACCCCAACTATAACTTCAAGATGAGAATTGCAAGAAGCATACACAACCAAAACAGAGAGAGAGAAAAATAGAGAAAAGCTTACATATAAACTCCGAACGGAATATGGCTTCATCGAGAATAAGAGCCAAGACTTCTGCCCAATCCACGGGACACCAACATCTAAACCAAAGAGATTACATACTCCAACCCCCAAGGGAGCAAGCTTATGTACGAGTCCCAATACAAATGACACAGTATGGCGTACCATCAATGACGCCCATGCAACCTTAAATCACGACAACATATCGAATACCAACTGTGAGGGAAACACGAACTCCAAACCCTCCACAAATAACGCCAACACCAGCTCCAACAACTCGAGAAGTTCCTTTACCTTCAGATAACATTGACACATCAAACTCTGAATACATAAAGAATTTAGTTGATGTTATCAACAAAGGATGTCATGTCTATGATGGAAATCTCGATGCAACTGGAGCACATGCCTGGCTGAAGCAAATCATCAAAGTTTTTCATGCCTTGATGATGCCTGAGAAATTTCAACTTCTTGTTGCTGAAAAGCTGTTAGCCGGACACACTCGTATATGGTGGGAACGAACTAAGAAAAAGCTTGAAGGCCAACCAACATGGCCAACGTTTGTAGAAAAATTTATTTCTTATCACTTTTCATCAGCTAATCGTGATCATGCGGAAATCGCATTCTCATCAAGAACACAAGGTGAATCCAATGTGAGGGAATTTGCAGAACTCCTATAGAACGTAGCTGTCTATCTGCCAGAGAAAGCAATAAGTGAAGAACAATTCAGTGGGAGGTTCTTAGTCGGGTTAAATCCACAAATTCGACAAATAATGAATGTGTCATCATCGATGAAGTTTCGAGCCTTAGTACGAGTAGGTGAAAGATCAGAGATGACACAAAATCAAGAAGATCAACCAAAAGAACCTTCACGAAAGGGGAAAGAATTCGAAGTAGGACCATCTACTCAACGTAAATGAACACAGAATTTGTAAATTGATCCATCTCCAAGAACGAAGAAAATGAAAAGTTGTCACTTATGTGGCGAATATGACCACACTCAAAGTGAATGTGATCCCCACGCAAATCAATTGGGCGGAGCACCAAGAGAAACCACGCATGTGTCTGTAAAATCCCAAACATATTAAAATATGACTACGTGTATAATTTATCATGTTTTTTGACGAATACACTAATATTATAATTTTCAAACATGAAGCTCTTTCATAATTATTGAGAAAGTCTGAAATTTCAAGGCAATTCTGGAATTACTCCGTATCAATCAGGAAATTAGTATTCAAGAATAACTACATATCATATTGATAAGACAAACAGTGACAAAATGGCAAGTGTTATCAAAAAGTTCATCCAATCACTGCAATGTGATAAAAACATATATTATTGTTATACTTAAGTGTGATATGCATGTTTACAGTTATAGGCATGCATAAACAATGTGAAATCAGCTTGTTGACGTCATGTTAGTAAGAGCAACTCCATTAAGGATCGCTAATGAGAGTTTGAGTTTTGAAAGTATGATTACGTATTCATCTAGGAAACCTAGAATGATGATTATGATAATAGTCTTTCCCCAAAATACTGTTATGTAGAAATGTCAAATCTAGAAACAATTCGTTCCAGCTTGTAAACAACGAAACATAATTTGTGAAACCAGCATTCCAGACAAAGTCATCTGAGAATGATTCTAGAAGAACTCTTGAAAACTCCTACAACACGACAAGAGGAAATCTAAGAGTATACTTGACGTAAGTCTCCATGAAAGAAATCCAAACACTTTGCATCTATCATCCGCGTATATCCTTTCTCGAAAGAGAACATGTTATAATCATGACACTCAACAAAAGAAAAACAAAACAACTTCTCAAAGTAAGTGTTTTAAAAAAACAATAAATATTAATGATTTTGTACATCATCATTTTAAATGACTTCACCTAAGGAAATTTCGGGGACGAAATTTCTTTAAGGAAGGAAGAAATGTAACGCCACAAAAATTCTACTTTTGACAGTCTCATTCCAAAAACACAATTCATTTTCAATTCAGAACAGTTTGGGCGAAAAAGCGCGTACCGTTTGGGGTAAACTGTTCAATTTTGGCTAAAAGCCAAAACTTTATTTTCCAAATCTCCTCCCAAATCACGCAGCCCCATTTTTCTCTCCACTAGCCCATCCCTCCACCAACCCCTACACTATATCATCATCATCATTGAACACCATCATCATCATTATACATCATCATCCACCATTTCCTCTCCCATTTTCTCTCTCTGTCAGCAGTCCAAGAAGGAGGAAAAACCAGCTCCAACTCCATTGGTGAGCCAAAGGAGAAATACACACCAGCTGCATAGTTGGTTCAAGGAAGAAGAAGAAGAAGCAAGAAACCTTCCAAAAATTTCCAAATCTTAAGCTCAAGAACGCAGGAGCCACTTTAAGGTAAAAACTGAAATTTTCCATCCCTTATCTTGAAATATTTTCTGAACCAAAGTTGTAGCCCCGGACGATACGAATCCAGCCCAACAAACGGCTTGCGATTTCAGTATTTGACGAAGGAGATATGGCCAAAATACCGGGACTGCGCCAATGGTGGTGAGCTCCTCGGGTTGGCTATGTTTCCTCATCATATCCATGTTGTTTCATTCCAAACACTTACCATAAACTCTCTAACAATTATTAGGAACATCCGGAAGGTATCGTAGATAAGGTTCGGTGTTGGAATATTGAAGTTAATGAGTTAATCGTCAGAACCAATTTATGCTATCTTACATCTGTTAACTCGAAATACTTTCTGTACGAAAGTTATAGCCTTATATCTTAGGAATCCACATAATCAAACGGTTTGCAATTCCATGAAGAAACGATGGAGATATGCCCAAAATATGGCAGGCTGTCCAATTGTTACGAGAATGACAAAGTTGGTGAATTTCGATGTTGTTTCCACTCCCGCTCATCCGTAAGGTTTCGGCCATTGATTTCCAGGTTTGTACCCTTGCAGTAGACTTTTCGAATCATTCATCACATTCGTACATGAACATATATATTATTCCATATGTTGAAATCATCCCAAAATATATATGTGATACATATCTAAGTCATCCATGTGTTGAAATCAAAATACACCAAATTCATAAAGTTAATATACACATAAGAAGATATAAACCTTGGAAATCAACCCAACAATATGTATATGTTAATCAAAGGTGTTAAAAAGACTTAAAGAAGTATTTTGGATACTCAAAGTATCAAGAGAAAGATTCGCAGACCCGAACGGTTGACGCAAACGGTCAACCGTCGTATTAAACTTCGAAATAGACCACGAGTGTCAGCAAAACGGTCGACCGCCACCGGCGAACGGTCAACCGCCGCCATTCCAGCCGAAGTCCGTCATCCGCAGCTAGTCAACAACGGTCGACCGCCGGTCAACCGCGGTCGACCGTCACGGTGATCCGCCAATCCGATGAAACGAAGAACAAGGTCGACCACCGTACCAAAGGGTCGACCGTTCCGAGCCCCGTAGCTTATTTAAATGATATTTTAATCATGTTTCATCCAAATAAATTAATGCATGATTATATATTCATATTGTTGACAAATTGTTCTTATCATATCATTCATTTCATCATTCATATTGAAGCATATCACATCATATGCATGCGTAAGAGATCAGGCCTCGTGCGTCTCTTAAAGCGTGATTGTGCTGGACTTAGCAGTCCGACATCACACGTTCGAGCTTAGTGTACGTACATGGTATTCAGGCTTTCGAGTACCACCCCCATTTTTCTAGTCTCACTTCATTCATTAGACTAAGGTGGCGTGAGTTCGTCGTATAACTTGGGCGAATCTCATAGCGCAAGGGTCATCCTTGCACGTTAGTTTCATGCATCATGTTATCATCATCAAGTACAATGATTACATAGGTGTCATGTAATCATCATCAAGAACNATATAATGTGCCATATCATGAATATGATTATACATTTTGTGGACATATATATATGTATATGTATATGTCTGTGAATTATTCTACAATTCTAGCGTGGTACCACTCAGCGGTTTCGCTGAGCGTGTAGTTTGTATTTTTCGTTGACTACACGTAGGTAACAAGAAGATAATGACGGAACCACTCCCGGAGGGCAATGAGTCGGAGGAGATGCAGGGATTGCAGGCAAATGTTTGATCATCAAGATTTTAAATGTGTCATGATTTGATTATTATTGTACTTCTGCGTTACTCCGAAAATATTTTTAAATGGGTCGCGATCCAGAGTCTGTAAATTTAACATTTATTGAAATTGTCAATTTCAAATGTCAAGAGAAATTTTTATTTAACTCCGGTTTCACCTTAATTCGTGTAATTCCAGGTTATACGGATTATGGTATTACATATATATTCTCATACTCTAACCATTCTTTAGGCCATAAAATAAAAATTCTCGTGCTTAGGAAGCTGCTTCCTTTGTGAAAGATTAGTGTAACTCAAATGTCAATACAGTTCTTTAATCATACAAAAATTGTATCAAAGAAATTCAATCCACGAATTTATAAAATGATTTTCTTTCCAAATTAAGTTTAAAGTAACACAATAAACAAATTTAAATAAATCAACATAAAACACATATATTCCCTGATCTGCACCCCTTAGATCAATAAAAGTTTTATGCTATTGTTCTCTAACCTCAATTTCGGTGGATTTTTGCTAGATTAATACATATAAACTCAAAGTCGTTTCAAATCAATCAACACATGAATTAATTTTCCAATAAATCGTAATAAAATATGAATATAATGCACTTCTTAAAAATGGTAGAGAGGGTAGAAACACAGGAAATTGAAAAATTACGTAGTGAAAGTTCTTCACCTTTCATTCTTCTTGACGCTTCTTCCCTTTGTCTTCTTCTTTTTATTTGTATATTGACCAAGTGTTGTCCCGATTGTCTCAATTGAATTTATCTTGATGACAAAAATGCCTTACTTAGTCAAAATTCTCAATACATGAGAGATAGATGGTGGGGTCACCTCGAATTCGAGAGTAGTCTTCCAATTTGCCATTCTACGCCGAGCAACAACTTCTTTTTTCTTCAGTTGTGGTTCCACCACTCTACTTTTCTTTTTTCTGCTGAAGCCAAAGCAGTGCACATAAGATTAATAGATAACCCATTTAGGGAAAAATAATTGTTTGGAAAAAAGTATACTTCAAATGACACCCTAGAAAGCACAATTAAAAGGAAATAGATATAAAAAAAACATACTCACTTCAAGATAAAGATGGGGGCAAACCATTGGGGAACACAACCTCATTCATTTAAAGTGAATTTCAATAAATATTAAATAATAAACATAATTTACTTACGTATATCAAATAAAATTGGGAAAAGACCTCAAACTATTGACAATTTTGAAACATTAATTCAACAAATCTAAAATAAAATTACAAAAAAATCAAATTTTATTTTATATCAACCTGATAATTTTATTCTAATATGTACACTCTATTATTTGTATTATAAGGTCTAAACAGTAAAAATCTAAATTAACAAAAAACTAATATATAAAATGGGAATGCATATAATCATAAAATAAGAGCATTGTTAGAGATAGAAGAAGGAAGCAGGATGGAAGAAGGAAAGTGTTAGAGACAGAAGAAGGAAGCGGGAATGAAGAAGGAAACCGAATCCCTTTGTGATTAGGTTTAGTATCTTTCCTAGTTGAATTATGTTTAGTATTTAGCTTCTTTCCTAGCTTGTTTAATTCTTATTTTAGTAGGAATAGAAATTTCCTTGTTTACTTTACCCTCTTCCTATATAAAGAGGGTTAGATCTTTGTATTCAAAAATCTAACCCTCTTTATACAGGAAGAGGGTAAAGTAAACAAGGAAATTTCTATTCCTACTAAAATAAGAATTAAACAAGCTAGGAAAGATACTAAATACTAAACCTAATTCAACTAGGAAAGATACTAAACCTAATCCCAAAGGGATTCGGTTTCCTTCTTCATTCCCGCTTCCTTCTTCTGTCTCTAACACTTTCCTTCTTCCATTCTGCTTCCTTCTTCTATCTCTAACAAGTATATTAAGAATCAACATGATGTGTAGTTAGTCATCTCAAGGAGTATTTGGGCTAACCATGAAAGAGTTGTCTTCGTAGCCAACATTTGGGCATGCTAGAAAGTGATGTCATGGATAAACCTAGTGGCTAGAGAAAACTGAATGAAGATCCTAACCTTTTGGATATCCACTTTGAGATAAAGATCAAATGAAGTGCATTTCAATAATGCAAACAATGAAATATATGAACATTTGATGGATCATGTTTTCTAGAATATATTCTACGCGAGAAATTTTTATATCCTTCAATCTTTCTATCACTTATAAACTTTTCCTTTATTTTATACCTTTGTTCATGCATATCTACCTTTCATAATGATATCCTATATATATATATATATATATATATATAGATTTTGGCTCAGGTGAGAATGCAATCTAATGAAAGAAATAAGAATGAATCTGGTGCATTAGATTGGGAGATCTAAGGGTTAGGATTGCATCAAAATTAGGTGCACCAAGATGGTTTGAAAATGCATCATGTCGAAATGCACCATAATCCTTTGAAAATGCACTATCTCAAAATTTGAGTGCAGAATGCAATTTGAGCCGCACGATGCATCAGATTCAAAGGCCAGATTTTATTCTTATTTCTTTCACCAAGGTGCATTCTCACTTGAACTATATATATATATATATATATATATATATATATATATATATATATATATATATATATATATATATTATTGAAAGGAGGTATTTTATTAAATTGCAAAATAAAGAAAAGTACAAAGAAGGGAGGACTAGGCCAATGCCCCTCTGAAAATTGCAAGGAAAAACGATTGAAAAAGGGAAATTGAATGAAATCAAAATGAAAAAGATCATTCCCAGATTATGAAACCCGGGTGTTGATCGAGGGAGAGATTTCTGGGCACTATTTTCTTCGGTCTTTTCCCATCAGTGCCAATTGGACCAACGGGCCCAACGTACCAAAAGGGTCCAGAATAACTTTGGGTAGTAACTATTTTCTCCATAGTAGTAGATTTGCGACTAGGCCAGTATCTCGTGATCTCGCTCACAGTCCCTACTTCGAGATTAGGATCATGGCTTCTGGTTTTGATGGTCCTTGGCATAGCTTGCTTCTTTTTACTTCTTCTATTCTGGACTTCTTGGAATTCATGAGTTTTGAGGTTTTCATCATTGTGGTTTGACGTTTGTCCTTCCTCATTGTAAGACCTAATTTCTTAATGTTGACCTTCAAGCTCAAAAGAGTGGAGGATCGGACCTATGTTGGTATCTGGAATGTTTGGTGATGTGGTTTCCTTTGTTGTATCTTCAGCCATCAGCGTTATAGTCCCTGTTGTCTCATCCTTCTCTATCTCGGTTGGAGTGTGTACAACCGTCTCCACATTCTCAGTTGGAGTGTGTACATCCTCCTCAATATTCTGTCTTGTGAGTACTGGAAATTCATCCAAGTTGATTGTATTTCCTACACAGTAAGCATTTTGTGCAGTCATACCATCCATGCTTTCCTCAATTATTTGTTCTTGTGTATGTTCCAGATCTGCTTCCTTAGTTAGCTTTTCCATATCATATTCGGCCTCAGCTTCTGATTGCTCATCTACTTCATCAGAAACAGTAGCATCAGTGGGATCACACACTCCATCCTGATTAACAACAGCTGCAGTATTGGTAGTTAACAGTTCTTTTCCAAATTCAGCACCAGAATTTTGCACGTCATTGTGGCTATCAGTTGGAAAATCACTTTGAACATTTAGAGCTTGAGTATTGGGATTGTCCTCTTTACAAAAGGCAGTGAGGTTAATCTCCATAGCTTCTTGAGGTGTGAGTTCATCTCCCTTATGCTCTGGGGATAAATCCGAGACATGATGGTCTACCTTTGACTTCTTATGTCCTGCAGTGCTTGGGTCATTCAGGTTCGTATCACATGAAGTTTTGCTGTCAAGTTTGTGACCCAACTCACATGGGATATTGAGAATGGGCTCTATCATCACAGCAGCTGATTTTGGCAAATTTTCATTGGACACTTCATGCTTGGAAATGGGGCACCAGGTTTTTGACAGGTTGTTCTTGGACAATTCATTCTTGGAAATAAGGTTGTCCATAGTTGAGCATTTTCCATCTAAATGGCCGGACTTTTTACACTGAATGCCGAATTCTGGTAGGTTTTCATAGGTTACCGGTTGGAAGAATCCCAACCCACCATTATCAATCCATATTTTCTTTAGGAGGTCTTTAGAAATATCAATCTCGACGCAGAATCTGGCCATTGATGGTCTAGTTTTTGCTGCTGTAGATGCATCCATCATCAATGGGTGACGGATGGAGCTCGCAATGGAGTGCAAGGCCTTAGCTTCTTGAAGATGGATGGGGAGATGGGTTAGAGACACCCAAACCAGAAAAACAGGGCTCTCAGAGTCAGCATGGAAAGAAGGGGTCCATTTGGTCACCACCATCTGGCTTCCATTTATATTCCACAGCCTTCTTGAGAAGCAACGTTGATAATCAATTGTGCATTCAAAATTTATAAGAATCAGGGACGAAGATAGTAATCCAACGGTGAAACCTGGTTTGAACCCTATCTGCTCAAAGCTTTTACGGATAACCTCCAGAGGAGGTCTTGATTTCAAGAACCGACCCACAAGTGCGAACTGGTATGGGATTGAAAGGGAAATTACCTCACCTGGGGTGACGGAGACAGCAGGGAATCCTCTGTATCTTCCGATTCTATTCTGGGCTTCGCTTGGTTGAGATCCTAGGATGTCTATGAAGGTCTTTTTGATAGCCGGGCATTGGCGATGCGAGCCTCCATGTCCATGTGAAGAGGATCCGAGGGTGTCTGCATAGCTTTTGTCACCTGGGCAATCAAGATGAAGGCCAGGAGCTTGAGAAGCCATTGGGAACAGAAGGGAGCGGCGTTATACGATGGAGAATCCATTGTTGATTGCAGAGAGTTGTTTAGTGAGAGAAGCCATTGTGTGTGTGTGTGTGTGTGTGTGTGTGTGTGTGTGTATGTATGTAAAGTTGGGTTTATCTCTTGGAGTGTTGACATGTGGCATGCCACATGTGCATTGAGATAGATGAATTTCATTGGTCCATTTAATTTTTTAAAAAGATATTTTAACACATTTTATTTTATTACATTAAATAAATATTATATTTTAGTACTAAAAAAACATTATTTAATTATACTTTGTATAAAAATGTCACTATTAACAATTTTATAAAAATATATTTCATCAATGTAAAATATATATACGGTGTAATATATATATATATATATATATATAGACATATATATATATATATATATTTATTTATTTATTTTGCCACACACATATTCTCTAATGATGTATCATTATTTAATAAGTCCATTTTTTATTATAATGTTTTATTAATTAAAACTATTTTCATTAGTACTTCATTCATTAATGGCTATTAGTTTTGTATAAAAGTTTTTTTTTAAATAAACATACCAATATACATTCCACCGGTTTAAAACATATTTTGTTTGCATAATCAAATTATATCTATAAATGTTTTTTTAACTTTATCGATATTTTGAAAAAATAAGTTTCATATGATTTTTAAAAACAATAAATCATTTCTCTTTTACTTCTTTTAAAAAAACTTATATAATCTTTAGTGCATGTACATCTATGTTTAAAGTATAATATTTGAAAAAAGATATATCTTAGAGTTAAAAAAAATTCATCTAACACATATTATGTCTCTATTAGAAAACTAAAATAAATAAAATTATATTTATAGAATGTCAAAAATTCAGAATGTATATGAGCCCGTGCGAAGCACGGGGTTAACACTAGTGTATCCATATTCTTTAGATTTGTACCTTTTTTAATGGAGTGCTTATTAGTAAAACTGCTGCAAATTTCAGTATAAAAATATTATCTTTTCTTCTAAACGAAGCAAACCTACCGATAGACCAAACCAAAAGGAGGATATCATTCATCTACAGCTGATGAACATTTCTAATGTGAGAAAAGTGGTAGATCTCTTTTTTGAAAAAGCAAGGATCCAACACCTGTGAAAAATTCAACATTTTACTTTTAACAAATAAGGTGTTAGTGCCAAAGCTATCTCATGAAAGGCGTTTCTAGACAACACGGTTATTAACAATGGGTGTTTAAACTTAGGGAGTTGGTATATGGTACATCCGGATGTACCTACATCCCGGTAGTACTCATTCTGAAATAAAGTAGTACTCATTCTCGTACAAATATAAACATTCATTTCGAAATACGTAGTACTCATTCTGGAAAAGGTAGTACTCATTTTAAAATAAAGTACTCATTTTTACACATTTGTCTAATATAATTATAATAAATAGCGTAGTGTTCATTCTTAAAAAAAACAATACTCATTCTCAAATAAGGAAATGTTCATTCTGAAATAAAGTATTGTTCAATTTTTTCACAATTAAAAAGTTCAGTACCATCATCAACTTCTTCATCCATACCCTTTTCGTTGGATCTTCCTCTATTCGATTCATTCCTACTCATTTATACTCTCTGAGCATGGAGAATTTAAAACCCAGGTTTATTCATGTTTGTATTGAATAAGAATATGATAATTCTCATAAGTGCTGGTACTCCTTCTCAAATTTGCTGGTACTCATTGTTATATATAATAGTTCTCATATATGTTCTGGGCATTGGATAAAAAGTTTACAAAATTTACAAAAATACTAAGCTGTACCTAAAGGAAGGTACAGCTGGATGTACCATATAATTTTCCGAACTTAGGGTAGCTTGGAAGGGTCAATACAAAATATAATATTCCTCAGGAAATATTAGTGTAACTTCAATACACACTGCAATTTTATAATTATAGAAATATTGCATTGTATCAAAGAAATACTCCTAATTACTTGCAAATCAAACACTTAACACTCTAATCACATATTTAGTGCACTAATCTACAAAAATACTTTTTATTTCCAAATAAAATTTAAAGTTGGACCAATAACTAATTTTAAATGAAGGAACATAAAACACTCCTGTAGTTCTTGAATTACAATTCTAAGCAAACATAAATCACCTCTTCCAACATACCTAAAGCTGGTAATAAACAATGAGAGACTCCAAAAGAGATGAATCTTTACAAAGTATTGGTCTAAAATCATAAGGTAATAAATGCACATAAAATAAATAATTCATAAAATTCTTGTAAAAAAAACCAAAGACTCTTAGTAATTATAATTTAATAAATTGATTGAAATAAGTTATAGCAAAAAAAAGTTAAAAATATTTAAAGATGGATAAAAATATCACCTGAGCCTGAACCTAAGGGAATGGTTTGGGACCCAATAAGCTTGATTAGGACCATCGGGTTGGCAGGGTCTCTTAGTGTAACGCCCTGAAAATAGGCCTATCAAAATTAATTGATAATTAATTAATCACTGAGAAGGACCCAAAAATAAGAGAATTATAAAGTTTGTCAATAGTTAAAGAAAATTATATCGTTGTGTAGAGCTTGACTGTCTGATCACAAGGTTCAATCAGATTCCAATTCGGAGAAAGCTGGACCAAAAAGTGTATCCCGACTAGGACACAAAAATTAGTCCCAATCAGGGAACTACACTACAATCGGTGCTACTGTTTGAACGGTGCACTAGCCGCTCCAAAGATTCACGGCAATTTCTTCAAATGTCCTCTTCCTCTTCTTCCTATTATATAAGAAAACAAAACTTCCTCTATTCATCACCAAATCCTTCAATTCTTCCTCCTGTTCTGCTGCCCTGAGAGAAAAGAACACCCTGGTGCTGTCAGTTTGGTGAGAGGTCGCCGGAGTTGAGAGCTTTTGTCGCTGGAAGTTTTGCCGTTCTTTCGCCGGAACCTTCGTTTAAATTCAAGGTATGCCCGTAGATATATCTAACGATTAGAATGTTCATGTAGGTCGTTTCTAGGTTCATAAATGGTCATTTGGTTGTGTTTTGTGTTTGAAATGCTTGAAGAACTAAGGATCACAAACCTTGAATTTCATGTTAAAACTATGAACTAATGATACCAAAATGATCTATAAACCTTGGAGAACATTTCTATATAGTTTAATTGAAGTTTGGTAACCAAAAAGGACATTTCCGAAAATTGGCCCGAGGTTGAAGATGACACTGTTCCAAGACAGTAGCTGGCTACCGTTCGAACGGTACCTTGGTACCGCCGGGACGGTAGGCTGTACTGTCGGAATGGTAGGGTAGCTACCGTCTCCGCCTCAATGTTTAGTTCCCTCTGGCAGTACCTACAACCAAACGGTAACCCGTACCGTTTGAGTGGTATTGAGGTACCGTTAGGGGTACCGTTTGTCCAGAAGAAAATTTAGAAACATTATTTTTGAACTGTTAAATCCTGTTTTTGATACCAAATAATAAATTTTAATATGATTTCTGGAACTGAATATGATGTTTTGATAAATATAAGAATCTTGTTTGATGCATGACGGTGAGCTAGAGTGTTAACACTCAACGCTAGGCCGCTACTTGTTATTTATGTTGATGGTGAATGATTATTATGAATGATTATGAATGATGAACCTACTGTTTAAAATGATGATTAAAACATGGCTAAAACTGAATAAATATTGGTAATCATGAAATTTATGTAAATTGTTAAGGATATCTAGAAGAACTTTAAGGTATACCATTTGGAAATTCATGTTGATTATTAAAGGATGTCTACAAGAACTCTAAGATATACCTCCTTGACCAATTCATAATTCGGGGTTAAAACGTACGTACGGGATCCAGAACGGATATCACCCACCCGACAGATCACTGTTCGGTTGGTACCTAATCCACATGACTCATAGGGTGGATTATCGATTCTTGTGTTCTGCCTTAGACTAATTATAGTTTAAGATCCTGGTTAAAAATATTGCCTCAGACTAGGAATAGCCTTGAGATATTGAATATCGAAATGATTTGAAATAAGATATTGAGAATATCCTGAATGCTTGAATTATATATATTGTTTGCATGATATCAAATGATTGATTATGAATTGATATTCAATTTATGTGAATGTTTGACGCTTTAGATATGCTTACTCAGCTTCACCGCTGAGCATGTAGTGTGTTTTATTTGCTACACACAGGTAGGCAGAATGATTGATTAGTATACTCCTAGCAGCGGAAGGGGTGAGACAGTCGTGGTGGACTTATTGACAAAATAAATAATTATGTTTGTTATGAGACATGTTTAAAAGTTGCTTCTGCATTATTATTAAACACCCCGTATTTTCTACAGTTATGTATGGATTTTTATTTATGATCAATAATGTTATTTAAAATGTTTTAAATTATACGATTACAAAGTTAATACTTTAGTCCGAAAGGGGCTGCAGACCTGGATGGATTAGCTAGGGTGTTACACTTAGGGTGTATCAGAAACCCTCTAAAGTATCATAGTAGCATTAGAAATTGGAATTCTGATCACATGACTCATTGAGACATTTCACTGAACAGGTGGTGATTCCTCTTTGCCTATGCAAATCTTCAAACTGAAAAAGGACGGGACCTTCCTCGGACCTTAGAGAACATTTACAAAAAGTGTACAACAATACAATAAAACTAAAAAGAAGAAAAAAACTGCAAGCACACTGCAAACTACCTGAACATATACGAAGAACTTTTGTAATTTTGGGGTGAAATTTTCTCTCCAAACTCTAGAAATTAAGCTATGATCTAGAAATTAAGCCACGATAGAGCATACCTGGGAGGATGATCAAAAGAACAAATTGACCTTGAAGATGTGAAAAAAAGCCATGGAGGAGGTGTCGGGGAAGATGAGATGCGATGCAATAAGAAAATCAGTGATTGAGATCCCAACTTTACAAATTAAACCACGAACTTGTAGAGCATACCTGGGGAGATGATGTGGAAGATGAAAGGTAACCATGCAAGGATAGGCAGCGGAATATAAAAATTTTAACATCCTAACATGATTATCTTGCCCAAAATCACGTACTAAAACATATAGTAGTAAGAAATTTATACCTTTCTCCAGAAGCGGTAAAAACGAAGAAGTCGTAGGAAGAGCGTTGAAAGTGCAAACGTAACCGTTCAAGCGTCCGGTCTCCAACTTTGACACACGAACAACGCCGGAGTCTACCACAATCTTTATGCTAGTAAAGATTATAGTAGTAGAAAATATAAAGATTAAAATTGGGATAATAATAATCTTGTATATTTCTATAGAAAATATTTCTAATAATATTTAGAAAATATTATAGATATTTTCTATACACAAAATGATATTAATGGAACACAAAAGAAATTTTCTCTCACTAGAAAATTATGGCGGAAAACCACACTTACATATTCAAAGATGATGATCTTCTCATATATCATTTTTTTTAAAGTGCCGTGCAATCAATGCAAAGAAGAAAAAAAAATTCCAAAGTGATTAATCAAACTTTGCCATTAAGCTAAAGGTTAAAATTAATAAACTATTAATCAAAGATTGATTTTAATCTTTTGAATCCTTATGGCCGAAAGTTTGATTGTGAGAAGGATTTTCAAAATTCTTCTCCACTCAAATGTTCAAAGTGTAATTTATTTGACACCAAAAATTAATATAAAATTAACTTTAAATCAAATAAAAATACCAATATCATTTTTAAACAAGTATACAAATATAATTTAAATAGTTTATGTCAAAATAATTATTTTCATAATTAAAATGACAAATCAAAATAAAATATTCAACATATAATATATATATATATTAATTGGCACATATATATAATATATATAACCGAATATTTATATATATATATATATTATTATATTCCAAAATATTTTATTTTACTATTTTTACAAATATACAAATTACTTATTATCTCATTGTTTAATCCTACTCCTTAAATTGTCCAAAGTGTGTGACCCGTATAGGCACTTATAAAGCTGGCCACAGTATTGGCTCTGCACCAATACTATAAGCAATAAGCGGTATCTAGCAACACATTATTCCCCCAGATTATAAGTTAAGACGTTTGCACCGTCAAAACCTTTCCACGACTCAAACTCTGTGTAACTGTATCCCTTTGTCTCAATGTCTAAACTTAATGCAAGGGATTAATAAAATCCAGCTTGTACACATTAAGTCATTCACTGATTTATCAAGTTTGACTAATAGGAACAGACGTCATAAAAACATCTCAGCATGGCCATGCAATTTCCTCAATCATAACTTATCAGTGAGCCCCATAAGACATTAATCTCTTTTAAAAAGAGTAGTGACAAATCCTATGTACATAATCTACGTTTCTGAATACGCGCTGCGGCATACCCAAAACAAAGCCTGTATACCATCCTTATTTCATATGGCTTAGGACAATGCATCAAAGTATGCGGGTTCACATATGCAGAAAACATAATACTTCAAGTCGAAGGATAGTTACACCCGTGATCGCGCTAAAGACGCTTAGAGCATGAACTAAAAGTTCAAGCAACATCTTTAGGATGGGTCAGTCCGGCATCCTATTATCTCCAGATAATATCTGCCCATGTGCGGATGCGAACACGCTGTCATTGACTATGAGACTAAGTCAAACATCCAACACACACTAGTCTCACATGCATTAACGATATCCTACTCTCGTTAATACTCGACTATGGACATTTAGATAAATATTTATTTCAAGATGTTAGTCTCATCAGCAGAGAAACACTATCTGATAAACATCTTTAAATATAAATCTAGGAATATAATATTTGTTTACATTAGCATGAGATGTGTAAACATATTATATCTTCCTATACATGATAGGATAACGATGAATAGTTGGCCATCAGGGCACAACTCCAACAATCTCCCACTTGCACTATGGCCAATCTGGCATCGGTCGAATGCCCATGGACCTTGTGTGACCCTCATGCTTTAGCTTTCCTAAAAGCTTGGTCAAGGGATCGGCTATGTTGTCGTCAGTATCTACTTTGCAAATCATCACATCTCCTCTATCTACGATTTCTCGTATGATGTGATAGCGTCGTAAAATGTGTTTGGTTTTCTAGTGAGATCGCGGTTCCTTTGCCTGTGCAATGGCCCCAGTGTTGTCGCAAAACAACGAGATAGGGTCATTAATACTAGGAACCACTCCAAGTTCAGTAATGAACTTTTTGATCCAAACAGCTTCTTTTGCTGCCTCGGCAGCAGCTATGTACTCAGCCTCTGTAGTCGAATCGGCGGTTGTATCCTCCTTAAAACTCTTCCAACTAAAAGCTCCGCCATTCAGGCAAAACAAATATCCTGCTTGTGATTTTGAATCGTCTCTGTCGGTTTGGAAGCTAGCATCAGTGTAATCGACCACCTTTAGCTCTTCCTCACCACCGTATACCAAGAATGCATCCTTAGTATTGCGAAGATACTTGAGGATGTTCTTGACCGTTGTCCAGTGTGCTTCTCCTGGACTTCCCTGGTATCTGCTGGTCACGCTTAAAGCGAATGAGACATCAGGTCTAGTACATATCATGGCGTACATGATGGATCCAATTGGAGAAGCGTATGGAACCTTCATCATGAGTTCCTTCTGCTCGGGAGTAGAAGGACTCTGGCTCTTGGAAAGAACCGTGCCAGGTGTCATAGGTAAAGATCCTTTCTTTGAGTTAGACATGCTAAATCGATCAAGGATTTTATCTATATATGTACTTTGATTTAGACCTATTAACTTTCTTGATCTATCTCGGTAGATTCTTATGCCAAGGACATAACTAGCATCCCCTATGTCTTTCATGGAGAAGTTCTCGCTCAACCACATCTTTACAGAAGTGAGAGCAGGAATATCGTTACCCATTAACAATATGTCATCGACATATAATATTAGAAATACTATTAAACTCCCACTGACCTTCTTGTATACACAAGATTCATCAGAGTTCTTCTCGAAACCAAAACTGGAAATGGTTTCATCGAAACCTATGTACCAACTCCTGTTAGAATAAGTGACCAACGCTAGAGGGGGGGTGAATAGCGTTTGATCGTAGAAATCGCAGGAATAAAAAATTAAGAACGTGAAAGATAAAGAGCGTAGAAAGCGTAAAAGGAGCACACCAAGATTTACCCTAGTTCACCACAACTTGTGGCTAATCCAGCCTCCCGAGAGACTCTCTCGAGCTACACTACTTCCGTTAAGCTTACGGGTGCTTAACAAACCGTTACAACCTGAGAGCTCGAGTCCCACGAGCCTCAACAACACTTGCTCGGAGATACCGCACTCCAAGACTTCAACCCGAAGGAAAATACCTTTCCTTCGTACAACCAAGGGAAACAAGCTTCCCTTAACGTGTATACAACACTACGACACTCAAGAACAGGGCTCTCTTTTAGAGTAGATGTTGAGTAAACTATATACGCTCAAGAACAACTCAAACTTCACAAATTGGTTCTAGAAAGCTTTAAAAATGATGTTGTTTGAATGCAATGATAATATGAATATTGTGAAGTAAATTGATGTGTAAAGCAGACCCAAAGACCCCTTTTTATAGTGCCAAAATAGGCTCCAATGGACCAATACATTAAAGGGGTGATTGGCTTGACTTATGGGATTGAATAAATTTGGGATCTGCAGGATATTGGCTTCCCAGCGATGTATGGACCTTACCCATCGCTAGTAGGCCAATTTTCCTTCAGTTTTGAAGCCAACGGTCACCTACCCATCGATGGGTACATGCTTCCCATCGCTGGGTGGGAGGTTGACTTCCAAACATGGAAAGAATCAACCTTAAGCCTTCCCATCGCTGGGTTCCCATCGATGGGTAAAGCTTCCCATCGCTGGGTAAGGGCATTCTGCCATGTGATAATGTTGGACCAAGGCTTTAACAGCGATGGGTAGAACCTCCCATCGCTGTTTGGCATGGTTCTGGAAGTTGGTTTGGCTAAGGGGCCGCTTACCCATTGATGGGATGTTCTTCCCATCGCTGGGTGGGTGGTTAGCCAAAAACCTACGGTTTTTGCCTTAACCACGGCCTAGCCAACCGATGCAAAAACCGACCGAAAAATCCAAATATCTCCAAAATAAAAACCAAGTGTTTAAAACACTTATTTGATGTATTTGGCTAATAAATCAAGTGAGACACTTTAAAAACCACGTCAATTGAGTAAAAACCACGGTTAGCCAAGTTTATGTCGTTTTGCGTGGTTTTGCCAAACGACCAAAAACGAAAGGTGGTTTTCAAAGTGTTTTTTCTGGAGAACTGTTTAAACATGCCAAGAAGTAAAAACCAGTCATAAAAAGTTGAAAATCACTTGGTTGGTTCGGACCCAAAAACCAACGCCGATAACCGAAAGCCGAACGCTGGTTTCTGAAAGCCGAACGCCGGATGGCTTGGTTTTTGGTTTAGGCGAACACCAAGTGTTTTTGTTGACTTAAACATGTTTGAAAAACATTTTTATGATGTAAGAAATTCAATGAAAAGATTTTAGCCTAAAGAGCCAAGGTGTAAAGATTGGGTCGGTCTTGATCACAAATGAGACCGACTCAACGACACTAAGACTACGGTCTTCGTTCTTGGTCTTCCTATAGCTCTTGTTCTTATCTTCGTTCTTCGCCTTGTATATTCACTGTCTTATCTTGATCACGGCGGTTTGGCATTATCAAAACCTGTTACAAAAACGAACACGGCTTTAGTACGAAAACGTGACAAGCCCGTGTTTCAACGATTTCCTCCTTTTTGATAATGGCAAACAAATGGCGGACAGAGTTTCTCTCTCTGGCGATCGCGATGAACAGTAACCGCGCACCAGTTCCGTCCATTTTCCGGCGTGTTCTCTTGGATTTCTCCATCTTTGGTTGCAGATTGATCTTCTACACTCCAAGGCGAGCTTATCCATCCTGAATTCCAGCGGCGTTGTTCAAGTTTTGGGAGACAACGAACTACCTAGGGTTCGTGACACTGTTCACCTCCCTCTGCAACAAGCTCCCCAATGGTTTTCTGGTAAGTGTGGCTGGTCCTTTCCTTGTTTCGAGCTGTTCTTAGATGGCGAAGGGCAAGAAGAAGGAGCGTAGACCTCCACCTCCCACTCCTCCAAACAAGAAAGACCTGCGTAACTTTCTTCGTCACATGGAGGACGAGTCTGGGGATGGAGGTGACATTGTGGATTGTGCTGAAAATTTGGATAACTATCCAGCCATTACTGAGGAGGATTTTCTTCCTTGCACTAAACCTGGTAAGGTCACGATTGAAGATGATGATGGCTCTGATTCCCAGACCCCCTCCCTTGATGAGGAGAGGATTGAGCAAGATTTGCAGAAGGATAAGAGTGGAATTTACAATACTGAAAGTCCCTTACCCAGTGATGCTACTGCTGGGAAGGCAGACAATGGGAAAAACACTGGAAATGATATTGGGAAGACTCATGAGAAAACTCCACCTGGAAACAATGATGGCAATGTACCCGGTAATAAAGTGGATACACTAGCTGAGAAGAAAAGCTTTGCTTCACTTTTTGAAAAGAACAGGTCTGAGGATAAAGGTATGAAACTCCACCAGGTGGAAATGACTGAGGATGAGGAGGTGTTTATCCAGCCTGAGGATGTGACCCCAATGGAGGAATTATGGGGACCTTGCTTGGTTGGTTGTTTCACTGGCAGATTCCCTGGGCTGGCACCTATTCAAACTTTGGTGGAGTCCTGGAAAGTACCTTGCCAATTCCTCCCTCATCATAAGGGCTGGGTGGTCTTCAAATTCCTGAATAATGAAGACAGAGACTCAATCTTACATAGGGATGACCACAGAATCAACAACAAGAAGCTATTACTCAACATTCCACAGGATGGATTCATGTGGAATGCAAAATCTTTCTCAACCATGCCAGTTTGGGTGAAACTCATGGATGTCCCTATGCAGTTTTGGGGTCCTAACAGCTTGTCTAAGATTGCTTCAAAACTTGGAAGACCACTCTTCATAGATGGTCTGACTAACAAGGTTGCCTCCAAACTTACTGTGGAGAAGGACCCAGAGGACAATCTGGCCTACAAGAAACCCAATTTCTGTAGAGTTCTCATTCATATGGATCTCTCCAAACCTCCCCCTTCCTGTGTGAAGGTCAATTTTGTTGGAGGCAGCTATTCACAATTTGTGGAGTATGAGGATCTCCCCCTCTACTGCTATCATTGTGAGAAATTTGGGCATACTCCTTTTGACTGTGTTCAACTTTTTGAAATGGAAAGGAAGAAGGAGCAGGAGGAACAGAGGGACAGGGAGAAGGCCAGAGTGGAAGTCCTGAAAACCAGAACTGAAACTAGGGACAAACAGGATGGCAAGCTGGGGCAGGACAAATATCATGGCAAACAAAAGGAGGGGTTGGAGCATACTAATGCTCAGAAAGCCCATGCTAACCCTGATGAACCCTCACCTTCATTCACTAGGAAGGATGACAATGATGGATTCACACTGGTGGGAAGAGGCAAAGGAACCCTAACTACACATCCTTTGAAGCCTCAATATAGGAGAGAAACTAGAAGTATGGGGCGTGGACAGACACATGGATACAGGAATGGTGCAAACAGAGGAAGGGGAAGGGGTCCAGGCCCTAACTCTTAAATGAAGGTACTCTGCTGGAACTTTAGAGGCCTTAATAGGGCCTCTAAACAATCTTTTTTGTGTAAATACATCATGGATCTTGGGGTGAACTTATGCTGCATTTTGGAAACTAAGATGACCCAAGCAAAACTTAAACTTTTTGTCAATAATAAACTTCCTTCTTGGGCTTCAACTGATAATTTTGATATGATTGATGATGGAAGGATGGCTATATTATGGAACCCCAATTTTGTTAATTGCCAAGTTTTGGAAGTTGCTGATCAGTATATCCATTGTGGGATTTTTTGTACTATCACCCAGAAAACTTTTCACATTACATTTGTTTTTGCCTTATACAATGTAAGTGTGAGAAGGAACCTCTGGGACAGACTTACTGATATTGCTGGCAGAATCAACACTCCCTGGGCTATTATGGGGGATTTCAATGCTGTTTTGGATTCTAGTGAGAGGATTCACTGTCATACCTATGCTTATGATATGACTGCCCTCTTAGAGTTTAGACGCAATAATGATCTTCTTGATGCTAAGGCTACTGGTATGCAATTCACTTGGAATAGAGGAAGCAAGTGGGCTAAGCTTGACAGGGTCTTGGTTAACTGTGAATGGGACCTCCTTCATTGGGACTGCTGGGCTGACTTTAAACCCATGGAATTCCAATCTGATCACTGCCCTGTGGTTTTGAACCTTATTCACAACACTAATCTGGGACCAAAACCCTTCAAGTTTTTTAATGTGGTTGAAACATGATCTTTTTGAAAGTGTGGTTAGACAGATTTGGGATACTAGAATTACTAGCACTAGACAATTCAGATTATGCATGAAACTCAAATTGTTGAAACACCCTTTGAAACAACTCAATAAGGAGTTTGGTCACATCTCTACCAGAGCTGAGAATGCAAGAAGCTCCTACTCAGAAATGATGACCAGGCTTATGACTGATCCACATAACTCAGCCCTCATTGAACAAGCTGCCAGCCTTAGGAAAAAGGCAACCTTTTACAGTGATGCTGAGAGATCCTTTTTCTTACAGAAGGTGAAATGCACTTTTATCAATGAGGGTGACAAATGCACCAAGTTCTTCCATGCTATGATGAAGAAACAGAAGGTGCTGAGTTCCATCCGCTTTATTATCACAAGCCAAGGTTCTACCACAACATCTTCTGAAACTATTGTTGAGGAATTTATTGACCACTATAGCAACATTTTTGGTAACACAGTGCCCACAACCCCCACTGACTGGAATGTTTTTAGGGAGGGCCCCCTTGTACCACATCATGAAATCCAAAATTTGATCAAGCTTGTTGACAGATCTGAGGTTAAAGAAGCACTGTTCAGCATTGGGAATGAGAAATCACCTGGACCTGATGGCTACACTGCTGCTTTCTTTAAACAGAAATGGGATATTGTTGGAAATAGCCTTTGTGAGGCCGTGTCTGAGTTCTTTAATAGTGGAAGACTTCTCAAGCAAATTAATCATGCAACTGTGGTTCTAATTCCCAAGGTTAAGGAGAACCCCACTGCCAAAAATTATAGACCAATTGCATGTTCAAATGTGCTCTATAAAGTTATCACAAAGATCCTGTCTAATAGGATGGCTCCCATCCTCCCTGATCTTATTAACCCTGCACAGGCAGCTTTTATCAAGGGCAGAAGCATGGTGGATAATATTCTTTTGGCTCAACATTTGGTTAGAGGATATGCTAGGAAGAGATCCCCTCCTTGTTGCATGCTCAAAGTTGATATTTCTAAAGCCTATGACACTATTTCATGGGCTTTCCTGGAGAATACAATGCAAGGACTTGGCTTTCCTCCGAAATTTGTGGGTTGGGTGATGGAGTGTGTTACAACTGCTTCCATCTCCCTTTCTATCAACGGAGGTGTGCATGGCTTCATCAAATGTAAAAGGGGCATTAGGCAGGGTGACCCAATGGCACCCACTTTGTTCTTATTCTGTATGGAGTACTTCTCAAGGTTGATCAGGAGGATGCTGTATGGGAGCAGATTCACTCATCACCACAGATGCTCTAAACTTGGTATTACTCATATTACTTTTGCTGATGATGTGATGATGTTTTGCAGGGGGAACAAGGATTCTGTTACTGTCCTGGCCAACACTATCCAGAATTTCTCTCAAGTATCTGGCCTTTTCGTTAATCCCCTCAAATCCAACATCTTTTTGGCTGGAGAAATCAAGGACAGCAAGTCTGACCTCTTGTCCTTGGTTTCCTTCCCTGAGGGGAAACTTCCTGTCAGATACTTAGGACTCCCTTTGACTTCTCATAGAGCTTCAGAAAGAGACTTTGCCCCCTTTATTGCCAAAGTTTCTGCTGGCAGACTGGAATTGATCAGAAGTGTGATTCAAGGTATTGAGGGTTTCTGGTTTCAGGCTTTCCCCATTCACAAATCTGTTTTGGATAGAATCACTACCCTCTGCAGAGCTTTCTTATGGGGAAGTAAATTCTGTAAAGTGGCCTGGGATTACATCTGTAAACCCAAAGATGAAGGGGGTTTGGGACTCAGAAACTCAACTATTTGGAACCAAGCACTACTGGCTAAGTGCTTCTGGAACATTGCAGCAAATAAGGAAACCTTATGGATACAATGGGTGCATTCTGTTTACCTCCAGGGCAGTGATTTTTGGACCTGGAATCCTAGCAAAAAGGATTCACACTTCTTCAAGAAGATTGCTGAGATTAGGGACTCTCTTTTGCAAAAGTGTGGTGATAGATTCATGACTGAAGACAATTTGTGTGACATGGGGGACATTAAAGCCACCAAGGTCTATGATCTTTTGAGGTCCAAGGGAAACATTAGACCTTGGATGAAAGCAACTTGGAAGCCTTATATCCCTCCTAGATACTCCTTCACTGTTTGGCTTACCCTACGAGGAAGACTTCCTACAAAAATGAATCTCCATTTCCTACAGATGGATAATAGGAATTGTGAGTTCTGCCATACTGAAGAGGAAACTTCCCAGCACCTTTTCTTCCTTTGTGAGAATACTGCTCTCATTTGGGGAGCCATCAGAAACTGGCTTAATATTGCACCAGCCTTATCCACACTTGAGAGAGCCATTGAATGGGTTGGAAGACAGAGACATAGTCATTGTGCTAAGAGGAAAATGTGGAGGCTGGCAATCATGTGCACTGTCTATACCATCTGGAGAAGCAGAAATGGATGCTACTTTGACCATGAAGAATTCAACACTGATACTATCATTTACAAAATCAAAGTGGGTGTTTATAAGGTGATGCAGAGATTATACCCCCAGGAACCCCTAATCCTTTGATTGCTCTGCTTGTGACCAGCCTCTGGTGATACTACTTTGTTTGGGTTCCCTTTGAACCAAGGTAAAGTCTTTTCTGAGGATACCTTGGTTCTAAACTTTGTGATTTTTCCCTCACCTCCAATGATAACTCTGTGTTTGAGGAGTGGTTGATCATTGCCTGACTGCTTGGGGTGGTGGAAATGAAGTTAACCCTTTAACCCTGTGTGGGCTGAAGGATTAACTCCAGGTCCTGGACTGACTTGGAAACAGTTCAAATAGTAGATACCCAATTTCTGGATAACTAAAGTTTGAACTGGGTCCAGATTAGGTCCTTGGGGTGCTGGAACAGTCTCTCTTCTGAGATAATTGTTCCTTGGGTTGGGCCAGCCTCAATGGCTTAGTCTCTGGACTATGGTATTGGGGTGGTGGAAACAATTTTACCTCTTTATACCCCTTCTGGATATAAAGAGGTATCATTGGGTCCCGGTTGGGGTGTTTTCACCCATCTTCTCTCTTTCTTCCCCCCCTCCCTTCTCTTCTTCCCCTCTTTTCTCTCTCTCTCATCTCACTCTTCTTTCTGCTGGACACAATCCACTACATAAGCCTGCTCCTCCTTTGAGTGGGACTATGTATATGGTTGTGTCTGGCCTGGGTTTTTGGGTGGGTAACCCCTTGTGGGTGGCTGAAACAGACTTAAGTGACCGTACCCCTTCTGGATACATTGACTTAAGTCTGGGTCCGGTTGGGGGTGTTTGCACCCTGCCTCCTCCTTCTTGTTGTCCCCCTCTCACCCCTTCTTCATTCTTTCTCTCTTCCCACCCCGTTCTTTTCTTTACTTCTCTCTCACCTTGCTCTTGCTCTTGGACTTAGCCCACAATGCATATTACATCTCTTTCTTTGACTTGTATATGTATGAAGGCTAGTCCTCCTCGCTGTGATTTTACTTGGCTTACTGGTTCTGAACTTTGTTTGGGTTACTGTGGATCTTGTGTTTGGAGGCTCATGTTTCTGAACCCTCCATCTTTTAGTACACATTCTGTTTGCTTCCCATATCACTGACAGATGGAAGTTTGGATGAATGGTTGGCTCTCTCTGTGGCTGTACCCCTACTTGGTCTTCCACTGGCAGTGACTGGTTTCACTTTGTATACCATGTTATGTGCGTAACCTGGCTGTGCTGAACTTGGATCTTGAGTTGGAGAGATGATGCACTCTTCGAAGGGAGATGGACACACCTGGTTGCAATGGATGTTCTACTGCTAGCTATCAATCTTGAATGGAAGGTAGCCGTGCTTGTGTAGATTGTACTACTTGGGTTCCCTTTTGTTTGTGAAAAGGGGGTCTTGATCTTCTGAACCTTGGCTGAGATTGGATATACATGATGCTACTGATGCTAGGCCTTGCTTGATTAAACTGGATTGTGGAATGCGTTGCAATATGGACTTGTTCTGTCTGTAATCTTCTTGTTGATGCTGTTTTTGAGTTCCCTTTTGGTTCTTAGTGGATGATTTATGTATGGCCTACTACATTTGTTTGTGTAGGGGCATTTTGATTTGTAACTTTCTGCTTTGTATAGGGGTTTAGGTTGTTTTTTACATACTTTTGCAAGTAACCATCTTATGGTTAAGCATTTGACATTCTTGTATTCATTTGATTATGGGTAATAATAATTTACATGTTACCTTGATAATGGCAAACAAGACGAGGTTATGCATAGGAGGATTATTTTGAGAAAAAAAATGTTCCCCCGTAATAGATGTCATTTTACAAAGTAAAAAAAATTCCCCCTCAATTTATGCATAACCTTAATATCTTCCCCCTTTTGACATTAACAAAAAGAATTAAAAGTATGCTTTAGAATTTTAAAAGTAAACTTTTATTCATTAAAAAGGGAAATGCGGAATACAACGGAATGGAAATAAAAAATACAATCATAGTAAGGAGAGAAGAGAAAAGAAGAGTCTAGGCATCGGCGCCCTCGTCCTCCATGTCATCGTCATCCTCGTCATCCTCGACGTCCATGGGATCGCCGTCGACCGCGTCCTCAAAGTCGGCCTTATCGGGGGAGGAGGACGGAGCATAGGAGTAGTCGTCCTCGTCCTCGCCTTCATAGTTTTGGCCGAGGAAGGTGCTGTCAAAAGGCGGCGGGACGTAGTTGATGCCGCGGAAGAACGCCGTCATGTCATGGTGTTGACGTTGCAGCGTCCAATCCATCCTGTAACACCCTAATCCATCCAGGTCTGCAGCCCCTTCCGGACTAAAGTATTAACTTGGTAATCGTAAAAATTTAAAACTTTTCAAACACACTTTATTAATCCCAATAATTTTTCATAACATATACAGTACGGAGTATTCAACAATATTGCGGAAGCGAATTTAATTTTGACATATCATAAATCATTTCAAACTTGTCACATCCATCCCGACAATCTTGCCCCATCTGCTGCCAGGATCACAGTGTTCTTTCTGTTGTACCTGCGTGTAGCAAATAAAACGCACTACACGCTCAGCGGTAAAGCTGAGTAAGCATATCTAATGCGTCGAATATCCATATAAACTGAATCTAAATTCATAATCAAATCATTTGATATCATGCACACAATGTTCATTTAAGACATTCACAGTTTTGGTATTGTTCAGTTCATACCAACACATTTTATTCAATTCAGATACTATTTCAATAGTGCTCTTAACTATTCTTAGTCTAAGGCCAAATCATAATAATGCTCTTAGCTATTCTTAGTCTAAGGCCAAATCATAATAATGCTCTTAGCTATTCTTAGTCTAAGGCCAAATCATAACTTCCATAACCAGATTCTTTTAAGGTAATTATTGATCAGACACTTAAACTATCATAAGTTTAAAGCAATTGATTTCGGACACTTAACTGTAGTCAGTTAAGGCAATCAGACACTTAAACTATCACTAGTTTAAGGCAAACGATTTCGGACACTTAACTGTAGTCAGTTAAGGCAATCAGACACTTAAACTATCATTAGTTTAAGGCAAATGATTTCGGACACTTAACTGTAGTCAGTTAAGGCAACAACAATATAGCGATTGATCAACATTGGATCGGGCATTTCCAAACGAGTAATCCTCTAACTTGGTCTACGAATCCCGTTTATACATTTTTATCTAACTCATCGAATATTCATGTTTCACAAATCCACACTAATATGAGATCTATTCTAGAGGTCTTCTAGATAGCCTTAACATCAATATTCTAAATGTGAATACCTTAGAGTTCTTCTAGATACCCTTAACACTACAAATCATTTCATAATTATAAATGTATTCATTTTATTCATGATTCAATCATAAATACTTATTTTAATAAGTAGGTTCAATACTCATAATCATCCATAATATTCATTTATCATAATCATCAATTAACACAACAATTGATAATAAATAGTGGCCTAGCTTCGAGTGTTAACACCCGAACTTACCGTCATGCAACACATAACATTTTTTAGTTGTTAAAAACATCATTTTTATTATGGTAAATCATTTTTATAATGGTCATAATCCATTGGTATCAAAAATAGGATTTTAGAGAGCTCAAAAATAGCAATTTCAGACAAATTTTCGGATCAGAACTTCGGGGGATCGATCCAGCCCTCTGGATTGATCCATATGTAGAGAAAATAGTCCCAGAGGATCGATCGCGGCCATTGGATCGATCCAGACAGTCTGGTTTTGGTTACTGTTCATCTTCTTCTTCGTTCGGGTCCAATTTCGAAAATACCGTTTTTAGTTACCGAACTTCAACGAAACTATATAGAGATGTTCTCCAAGGTTCATGGATCATTTTGGCATCATTAATTTATAGTTTTAACATCAATTTCATGGTTTATGATTCTTGGTTCTTCAAGCATGTCAAACACAAAACTCAACCAAACGACCGTTTATGAACGTAGAAACGATCTATATGAACATTCTAGTCACTAGATATATCTACGGGCTTACCTCGAAGCTTATCGAAGGTTTTGAGAATTTTCCGGCGAAACTTCCGGCGAGGTTTGTGGTTAGCTCCGGCGACTTCACAACAAAATGGCAGCACCAGTGCACTCCTCTCTCAACAAGGAACAGAATAGAAAGAAATATGGAGTGTTTTAATGAAGAATTGAGTAAGATTGAATTCCTTATATAGAGAAGGTNAGTACACTTTTTGGTCCAACTTTCTCCGAATTGAACTCCGTTTGCATCGTTGCGACCAGGCAGTCAAGCTCTATTCAACGACATAGGTTTTGTATTTATTCGTTATACTTTTTCCGATATCATATTTTTGGGTATTTGACTTTGACAGAGTCAAAATTGATTTGTTTGACCTTTACTATAAAAGGTGTTATATTCAATTCATATTATTTATTCTTATGATTTATTTCAATAAACCATTTCAATGTTCACATCATAATTAATTTCTTCATTTATACTTGATTTGGGTCTGTACTTAGGTTCCCAATCAAGACCACACAAATAGTCAATAAATTGGATTTATCTCTATGAGATTTATCCTGATTATGATATGGGATATCGAAACATATTTTTATCGGCCCAAAGCCCATAACAATTTATTTTAACTAAAACAAATTTGATTTATTTTAATAATTATCTATTAATAATTCTAAGGTATGTTTTGGGGCGTTACACATCCGCTCCATGTACTGCCCCATGTCGTCCACCGTGAGGGTTAGCCGATTCAGGGTATCGGCTATGGACTGCAATGAGGCCCGGGCGGGAGCGGGGGCAGGTGCACGGGTGGGGGCACGGGCACGACTCGGTCCGGCGTCGTCTCGGTCTCCGGACTTCTCCCAGAAGGTGCTGTCTTGAATGACCCAAACCTTCGTCATCTTCATATCCGGTCCGGCGATGTGGATGTCGGAGGCGACAATGATGTCCATGACGAGGAAGGCGTACGGCAAGCTCCGCTCGGTGGCGAGTGAGGCGCAATCCGCCATGTGTATCATGACGAATTTTGCCCAACTGATGGAGGCGCCGTGGATGATTGCGTGAATCGCCTTCAAATCCTCGTTGAAGAGCGAGGTATGGCTGCTGTCCCGGGGGCGAAGAATCCGGGTGATGATGTAGAGGAGGAGGCGCTTGTCAGGTGTTGCCGAGTGAATTGTTGGCGTGCCGCTGTGGCGGATGAGGTTGGTCATCCCTAGCTCTCGGATGACCACTGCCTCGTTGTTGAGGATCCAATCGTCGCCACCGTATGTCGCGATGTCATCGCCTCGAATGGGCAGCCCTGCGATCCGTGCAAAGGTCGGCAAGTCAATCTCTATGTTGTAGAGATTGATGCTGCTGCGGATGGTGTCCCCGTCCCGGCGGAGATTTGAGTAGAAGGCTCGAACGAAGGCGGGATTGTAGGACTGACGGCTCCTGGAGAAAAATGACCACAGACCCGACGCTTGAAGCTCATTGTTGAGGTCGTGGTACCCCTTTTGTTGAGGGTACAACTCGGGCAGCACCCTAGGCGGAGAAATGGGACGCTTGGCAAAGTGCGTGAGGAACCGGTTGAGTTCCTCCTCCGACCCGAACTCCAAGAAGGACCCATCGAGATAGGGGAATGGCTTAGGCGCAGAGCTTGAGGCTTCGATGCTGACCTTCTTCTTGGAAGCCTTTGATTTTGATTTTCCACCGGCCATTGTTGAGGCGATTGAGAAAAGAATGATGAAAAAGGGCTAAAGGTAGAGGTTTTGATGTGAAAATGGTGTGTGAGAATGAAAAAACATGAAGGATATATATAGGGAAAGGTGTGGATCTTGTTTGAATTCAAAAAATATGGCTGTTGTGCATTTAATTTGGTTCCCAACGGCTATTAATTTTTGAACTGCAGATGCCTTCCCAGCGATGGTAGGATCTACCCATCGATGGGAAGGTCGATACTGGAAAGCGAGGAAGAACCCAAGGCTGCCTTCCCAGTGATGTTTGGATTTTCCCATCGATGGGAAGGTGGCTTCTGGAAATTGACGATGAAAAGAACATGGCCTTCCCAGCGATGTTAATACCATCCCATCGCTGGGTGGGTAGCTTTGAAAATCCGTTAAAAAAATTTTAAAAAATAGTGTCAAACACCCAGCGATGGGAGGAAGTTCCCATCGATGGGTAGCATGGTTCTGAAAAAAAATTTTAAACTAAAGTAATTCACCCAGCGATGGTACAAAGTTACCATCGATGGGTAGTGGACTTCTGGAAATTCGTTAAAAAGTTTTTAAAAAAATGGAGTCAATCACCCATCGATGGGAGGAAGTTTCCATCGATGGTAAGAGGGGTTCAGAAAAAAATAAACTTCCCTCCCAGCGATGGTATGAACCCACCCATCGCTAGTTCCCCCTGATTTCCAGATTTCTTCACTTCGAACCATCCCTGCAAAAAAACAACGCTTTGGTACCCAGAATATGTCTATGGGTCCTTGGGGGTTAGTTAACCTTTATTGCCCACACACACACCCAAAATTAGTTTCAATACGCCCACACACACACACACTCACGCGATTAGATGATTGTTTAGGAGTTACCTTGCCCAACCCATCGTCTCGTGGTCGACGGGTTCCAATCTACCTGAACGGAGTGCCGATATCTCGGTGTGATTTGTGTCGGTTCCGGTAACGGAATGTGGACATTTTTCTTTTCGTCAAAGTAGAAGAAATAATAACGTTTCTTTTATGCATTGTCCTGTGGAGATTGTTTATGATTCAAATATCCTTTTCCAAAGGATTTCTTTTTATTAGCACCAAATACGTTGTGTGTTTCATTGTAGGTGAAGTGCCTATGTCTGGTGAAACACACGGGAGCTATATGTCCTACCCTATTGCAATAATGGCATACTACGTTTGGGTTGAACATATGCCTAGGTTGGTAATAGCTAGGGTGTCTAACCATATTCATCCTATTTTGAGAAAATATTGGTTTTTGGGCATTTTGAAGATTCTCTCTTCTAGGTGTTCTAGCATTATTTTGTCTATTTGAAAAGTCATTTCTGTGCATAAAATCATTTTGATAATTCCTCCTAGGTTGCCTAGAATGCTCGTGTTCATGACTAACCTTTTTTCTAGGTTGTTTATTATTTTTATTTTTATCTTTCTTAGGTTGAGCTCTAGGTGATTTACGGTTGTGCTCAACTTTTTATTTATTTTAGGTTCATCTATTTTCCCAAAACCTATTCCTTGTTTAGTGTATTGCATAGAACTAGATTAAGATTCTTATGTGGTTTATTAAATTTCTTCACCGTGTTTTCTAACTCAGCAACTTGTTCTTTCAAAGCTATGCAAGAGTCACAATGTTTTGTAGAGCTCTCGGGTTTGTCGGCGCTTCTTTTACCATAAAATTTATTTTCCTCTTTTACTTTTTTGTTTTCCTTTTGAAGTTTTTCAAACTTAGTTTCAAGATTAGAAAAACATTTCTTTAAAGCTTTGTTGGTTTTAGAAGCGCTAACAAACTCGTCATAAAGCTCTTGGAGAGCTTCTTGCATTTCTTCAAGAGAATAAGAATCGGTAGAAGAAATACATACCTCTTGGTTTCTGTCGTTGGATGACTCCTCTTCTTCTTGAGCTATGAGACAAAGGTTTGCTTCCTCGTCTTCCTCTTGCTCGCTTCACTCATCGCCGGAGTCTCCTCCCCAAGAGATGTATGCTCGTTGCTTCTTGAGCCCATTTTTGTCCTTGGCGTTCTTGGCTTTTGGACATCTCGGTTTGATGTGGCCAATCTCGCCACAGCCATAGCACTTCGGGGAATCGTCGTGTTTCTTTCCTTTGCGCTCGTGCTCTTTCTTCATAAATTTGTGGAATTTCTTGATGATGAGGTCAAACTCGTTGTCTTCATCACTTGATCCCTCTTCAATTAAAAACCCTTTATTCTTTTGTTCATCCAAAGACGGGGTTAGAATTGTAGATTCATAAGTTTTAAGGTTACCTCTTAATCCATCGATGGTTACGTTGGAGACTCCAATGGATTCATAGATGGCGTCGGCCTTTGATCTCCATTCGGGGGTGAGGCTCCGCAGGATATTCCTCACGAGGTCCTTGTTGGCATACGTCTTCTTTAGGGCGTGAAGATCATTGATGATCTTCGAGAAGCGATTGAACATGTCGTCGATCTTCTCGCCTGGTTTCATCCTGAACATCTCGTACTCCTGCGTTAGGAAGTCAATTTTCACTTCCCGAACTTGGTCCGTGCCTTCGTATGTTACCTCGAGCTTATCCCACATCTCCTTGGCGGTTGTGCAGCAGGAGCTTTTACGATAGTCATCGGGATTGACCGCGCAGTAGAGCATGTTTATTGCCTTTGCATAATTCCCTACTTTCTTGATGTCTTCGGCATCAAATTCATCCTCGGTCTTGGGGATTAACTTATCTCCGACTTTCTCCATCGGCACCTCTTCCCTGTTTTTGATAACCAACCATAATTGGAAGTTCATGGAACGAATATAGATTCTCATTCGTTCTTTCCAATATGTATAATTGGTTCCATCAAAAAGAGGTGGCCGTGTGGTTGATTGCCCTTCACCTATTCCTGCATACAAATTTCTAGAAGTAGAACCCATGATCGCTTTTCTCTCAAACAGTTAAGTTTGGACGGGAGTTAGGCTCCGATACCAATTGTTAGAATAAGTGACCAACGCTAGAGGGGGGGTGAATAGCGTTTGATCGTAGAAATCGCAGGAATAAAAAATTAAGAACGTGAAAGATAAAGAGCGTAGAAAGCATAAAGGGAGCACACCAAGATTTACCCTGGTTCACCACAACTTGTGGCTAATCCAGCCTCCCGAGAGACTCTCTCGAGCTACACTACTTCCGTTAAGCTTACGGGTGCTTAACAAACCGTTACAACCTGAGAGCTCGAGTCCCACGAGCCTCAACAACACTTGCTCGGAGATACCGCACTCCAAGACTTCAACCCGAAGGAAAATACCTTTCCTTCGTACAACCAAGGGAAACAAGCTTCCCTTAACGTGTATACAACACTAAGACACTCAAGAACAAGGCTCTCTTTTAGAGTAGATGTTGAGTAAACTATATACGCTCAAGAACAACTCAAACTTCACAAATTGG